AATAAAAAATATGAATTAATAAACTGCAGCAGTTACCTCTTTGGGGGGGGGAATGACTGGATGTGCAACTCATAATATATACAATTGGTGAAGAGATGAAAAGAAGAGTTGTGCCTATTGCTAAATTCAGGGGTGGAGCAGATTAAAGAGGTACCGATGAGAAGAGAAATCATATCGCCTTATAAAACAGTCTGTTAACACAACATAGAGGTGAAAGCAGACTTCAGAAAGGAAAATTTCCATGAAAAATAGGTGTCAAATATCAATGTCACAGAGTTTCCCTGGGACTATAACAGAGGCTTAGCATGAAAGGAGGTGTAACTACCTCCCCCCACCAACTACGCACGATTGACAAAATTGCGCAGTGGGGAGGGAGATACGTACTGGGTGTATGTCTGCTGAGCTCCAGCTCTGGTCTCTCCAGGCTGCTCTGAAAGTCAGGAGGCAGCAGGGAAGCCACTCCCTCAGGATGGATCATCTCTTCCTCCGACTCAGCTGAAGCTTCTGCAAAGTACAGATTGGGTCGGGGCAGGGAGGGAGTGAAGGGCTCAGCATGTGGGAATATATAGAGGAGTGAAGGAGGTCAGGCAAAGTCATGGATATAGCGTATATATTAAAAAGAGTTGTACACAGAGAAAAACTCCCTAGGATTAAGCTCTACCTCATCTAAAAGGTGGCACAATTTATTTATAACTCTTCCTGATGGCAGGAATCCTCTTCTAGCAAGATCGTCAAATTAAGTGTCTTCTTCCCTGACAAAAGGTAAAAGGTAAATAGGAACTCACTTGGCTCCATAAACTACTAAAGCAAATTAGTAGTCTCAGCCTGACTTTTTCCTGAAATTGCCTAGTTAAACAGGCCCATCTACTTGGTGACAGGAATAAGAATGAAGAACTTCTTGTAAGAAGTGACAGTCTGGGCTTACCTTCAAGTTCTGCAGCTTCTCGAGCTTCACGTTCCAGACGCTGCCTAAGTAGCTCCTGCTGCTTTTCCAGATACTGCTTTATGAAACTGTTCTGGCTCATTTCCTCGCCAATCTGTGTTGAGGACATGGAAAAAGAAAAATCTAGGAAAGCAAACCAGGAAAATGCAAGGAAGAAAATTCCAAAGGTCTACCCCTTCTATCTGGACTCAAGGGAGATAATTAAAAAGTTGGAAGGCCCTTTTCTAAGCTACTTTTATGTTGAGAACCAAAATAAATAGCCCTATGATTCACAAAAGATGGCAAAAAGGGGAACTACACAAAATTTTTTGTTTTAAATATTCAGTTCCTACCCAAAGAGGATGCACAAATAACTTAGAATGGAATAAAAATTCCTATAAAATTATGCATTTTAATCTAAATATTTAGATAGCATAAAGTACTATTTAAAAACAATCTAAATTTTTCTTTTAGTAATATCAAAAACTGAAAGGAAAAATATACTAATTCATACTAGTTCATCTTTTGTTGATACAAAAGACCAATCTCTACCTATCCAAGAAACATTTTATCTAACAGCTCCAAAATTCAAGTACAGTACTTAAAAATATGAAAGCAACAGACTAAGAAAAGGGATGTCCATTCAGCACTTCAACAGGGCCTTAACTCCATTTTCTTTGGGTGATAAGAAATTCTTGGTAACAATATTTAAAATTCAGGAGCTTAGTCCCTTTTCCTTTTTTTTTTTGTTTGGTTAACACAGTAACACAGACTCCTATATCATTCTTCTGCCCTTCAGCTTTCTCTTCACAAGTCCTCCTCCTGAGAACCTTTGTGCTTGGCAAGTCCTATTAGAACTCCAGAAAAAGGAAAAAATCTGAATATTTCCTATGTTACTAGTCATCTTTCCTAAGTATGGTAAATGTTTATTTTCATCTAGAGATGAGTTTCTTGGTATTCAATGGACACTGATGAAGCGTGGGTTGCATGTATTAGAGAATATATGTATTTGTTGTAAAAATCCTATTAATAAAAGCAAAGCTTCAAAGACTAAAATGCAAAAGGAATTCAATCGCAAACTGAACTTATATAGTTTCTTAAGCTTGTTAAAATACTTAACTAAACCTCTGTAAGCTGGCTAGATTATGATACTTACAGCTTAATGAGGTGATAACAAGGGAGTAGGAAAGCTCTCTTTCACCACAGTATCTTGGGACTTCATCTAGTACTGGAGCTGCATACCACTGCACTAATCAAGATCTGGATTTTTTCCTTTAAGTGTGCATTAGTGTGCATGACACACTCTAATGAGAGGATTTTAAAATTGATTAAGAGAGAAAGCTAAGAATTTTAGTTTTTACGTTTTTCTTTTTGGTTAACTGTGGAATGATTTTTTTCTAAAGAAATCTTATGCAGAAACTCAATATACAAAGCAGATAAAAATAGATCTAATCTAGTTTTAAGAGGGGTGTGTGAACCTCTGCTCACTTGGGAAGATGGTATTTTCCCTAGGATGCCCCCAAAAGCAGCTCCACAAAATCCCAGAGCAGTTATAAAACTACGGATCTAGTCCAACACATAGGGATACTGAGGAAACCAAGGCCTCCAAAGGTTAAGTTTCTTGCCCTAAGTAACAGAGCAATTCATGATGTTTAGGAGTAACAGCATGGTTGGTGTTAACACTTTTAACGGTGGATTATTTCCAAAGGATTGAATTCTTGGAAAATCTATGTCAACATAAGAGTTCTTCACAAAAAGGACACAGCAACTTGTCTGTTCCCCTTCCCCTGAGTCCCCAGCACTGTTCTCCTCCCCCAATTCCCCAATAAAATCTTAAAAAAAAAAAAAAAGAGTTCTTCAGCTAATATTTTCCTACACTGCTCTACTGATTGTCTACTTTGTATCTACATTCAAAGACATCAACTACTTTTCTCACATCAATGGCAAATAAATGGCTTCAGATTCCTGCACTACACTTAATCAATTGGAGCCAAATCTCTCTGCACACATTTCAGGTATCAGAAATTAATTAATAGCTCCTCTGATTCTGTTCTTGATTTCTTTATTAGAATTCAACTGTCCCGCTATGAGAATATTTCCAACTCAGGGAACTTAGGAAATAATGGTGAGGAATTAGGCATCAAATATACAACATCATAGCCTTCCATATGTCTGGGCATTCAAATAGCCTACTCCATCTGATGAACCTTCTTTCTTACCTGGGAATTTGGCTGGAATGCAGCATGGGGTGTTGAGTGTTTCTGTAAATTTTCTAGCATTAGAGCCTGGTATACAGAAGGGCAAAAGTCAGAAACCAGGAAAAAAACCAAAAAACAAAAACCATCCCTCTCCCAATCTCTTCATTAAATGAAACAACTAACCACACACACTTAAACTGTTCTCCTTTTCCAGGGACCTAAAAGCCCTTTACTAATACTCTTCTCATTCATCTTCAGAAGACCCTTAAAGGTAGCCACAGTTATTGCTCCCAAATGTACAGAGATAAAATGAAAGCACATAAGTGAAAATAAGTGACCTGGCTATGAAATAAAATCAGTGGCAGTGACGGAAACACTACTACAATCCCTATTATCTTCTGCACCTCTGACTAGTGCCCCTTCTAAATCTGGACATGCAGGTAAAATCATTTCAAATACTCAAATCAGCTTCAAGCACATGAAACCATTATGGGGTTGGTTTTGACCTTAATAAATTACTTGCTCAAACAGGACTAGATCTACTTGAGAGAACTTGGATTCTTTCCAACAGAGTGGCACCTAGATTTACCAAATTTATAAAAACTTCAAAGAGAAAGCTACAAAATGACCAGACTCTGTAAACTGTGATCTTACCCAATCCCTCCCCACACCACGAAACTGTCAGCTTCTGTATAAGTAACGGTCGGCTAAGTTAACCCTTGAGCCAATTCAGCACTAATCTCTAATACCCACAACGTATTCTAATTAACCCTAAAACTAACAAATCTTCATCTTCCCTCCGTTTACATCAAACCCATACACACCAACCCATCCATCCGCCTCATGACTATTCCCACCTTAATCCACTCAAACCGATTCAAAACCCCAGCATATACCAACGTGCCTCACCTCCTTCACCAATATTCACCAAACTCTTATTCACCCAAATTGCTTCTGCCCTATAAATTATACACCCCTCTCTAACCAAGTCCCTTCAAATCAAGCTTTCTCTTCATCTCACCTCCTAATCGAAACAAGCAGACATTTTTACCCTACCCCAATCCTATTCTTCCGGATACCGATACCAACCCCATTAACCCCTCCGCCCAACTGCACCCCTAACTCCCACCCAGCCCAACTCGCCCGCCTCAGGCCAGCAACGCCGGTGGTTGTAGTGGGATTTAACTCATTCTGTAGCGCATGCGCCGAAACCACAGACACAAACAAGGAGGGGGTGGGGGAAGGAGGAAGGAGCTTAAGACACTCCGGGAGAGTAGCGCGCACCCTCCCATTTTGGGCTCGCGCCGCTGCCGTTAAGGCGGGAACCGGCACTATCTCTATTCCAGCGCGAGCTTCGCCAACCACCGTGCGCGCGGCTCCGGAGGCTCGCGCTAGCGGCCTGAGCGAGCTCGCGCCGAGCCCGGACACTGCGCCTGCGCCAAGGCAGAGACTCGTCTCTACCGGGTCCGCTCCCCTCCGACACCCCGGCAACGCCGTCTCCTCACCCCTTTGAGCCGCTTGACCAGAGCACTCTTCTGCCCGCTCTTGGCTAGGCCTCGCTGCTCCAGTGCGGCCTTCAGGTCGGTCACCCGCAGCGCCTGAAGAGGCTTCCCGTCCAGAGTCACCTCCTCCAGCTCCGCCATCTTGCGTGAGGTACTCGGGTCCGTCCCGACGGCTTCGGGCATCTTCGGTAATTTCCGCTAACGCCCTTCGAACGTACCGAGCTGACCCCGCCCACTGCCATAGTCAACCCCTCGATTACCACTCAGAACTCCCCGGGTTCCTCCGGAACTGCTCGGGTATTTCCGTCTTTATATCGGCACCAATCGGTTCTTTCTGCCCTCCCAATCGCTCCCCCTCCCTCGCCCTGTTTTCAGAGCTCGGATATCTTCGTTTTACCGAGGCTTTGGAATCGAATCTATTCGGAAGCCCTCGACTCTGGCATAACCATGATCGGAGCTATTCGGCTCTCTCCGGACCTAAGGCTGAGGCGCTGAGGCGCTTGGGTGTTTGGGGCTGGTCAGGGACCGGAAGTGCGTGGGCTGCCTGGCTGGCCTTGCTTGGGGCTTTCAGGAAACATGGAAGCGGCCGCGGTAGTTGGAGTCTAAGCACTCTTTTGACGGCCTCTCGGTGCCCTGTGAGAGGAAAGGGGAGGTAAGCGGGGTAGAAGTCTCTCCCTTGGCCTGGTCAGACTCAGTGTTTTGCGGGTCACCCCCTTAGGACAAGCCTCCCGTTTCCCTACGGAAACAGCTGCCACTTCCCATCCTCTTAATCCCCGCCACTCCCATCTAAGGCTATGTTGTTCTTTGGGACCTCGTAATGCCAGACTCCGTGGCCTCCAACGGGACAAGTGGCAGCCTCATGTCTTCGGACTCAGAATGAACTAATTCATGATCATTGAACTCGAGTTTGCCGTGGAAGCCATGTCGCAAGATTCGGGGAAAGCTCTCCCTTTCCCCGAATAAAGTTATTGTAGGAGGAATTGCTTCTTGTAGGGCCACTTTGAAAAAGGCAATCTCTTTGGATTGTTTTGGCACTGAATTGCTGTTAATTAGTTAGGGGGTCCTTTCTTTCTCATTACAAATACTCCAACTTGCAGCAAACTTGACTAACAGTAAAATAGGTCAGACAGTAGTAGTTTAAGGTTTTCATTGTTAGAGATTCAAACTGTGGGACTCGAAAACTATTCAGGTTGGCTGATATTCTAGTTGCATTAGTGATGCAAATCAGTGATTGGGCATCAATATATTAAGTGTTAAAGAAAACTATTCAGACATGAATTGTCGTACATCTACAGTATAACACTTGTTAGATCCCTAAGCCACCAAACCAACTAGATTTTTCAATCTTGAATAAATACGTGGCTTTTTCTGTTTTTCTTACTGTTATCTTATTTTGGGCCAGTGGCCCATCACTTGCTGTGCTCTTTAATTGTTTCTGGTGCTTTACATGAAATAGAAGGAAGTAATGGATGTTTTCAAGTTCTTGGCATATTTTAAAGGCTATACACACATTGCAAAGAAGACTTTTATATGTTTTTTTTTTTCTCCACTGTTGATTGCTCTGAAATGATAAGTATCTGGGCCCTGAACAGCTGTATGCATTAGATTAAAAAATGTGTACCTTTTTTTATTTTAGGGAAGATGTGATGGACCAACATTGTCTTTCTCTTTGCTTAACCTGGAACATAGAAATAGGCAGGAGATAATGAGCAAGAAATGTGTTGGAGAAGCTGAAGTTAGTAAGATTCAAGGAACAGCAGGGGAAGAGGAAGAAAAAAGAGGTGGAAAGGGTCAAATAAAACAGAAGACTGTACACAAAAGTTTATGATAGCCAAAATTCCCAGAGCAAAGATGGAATATGTAACGAGTGTGTGACCTTGCAACTCTGGAAATTGGTATTAAAGAAGCACAAAGATGTCTTGTTCAAACATTCTCCTGTGATGCCTCAGTAACAGGAGAGGATAAACGATCATTCAGGGAGACTTTACAGAGGACATGTTAATGCCATTCAGGAAAAATGACCAGAGGTGGATGATGAAAGCATTGAAGATCTTGGAGAGGTGAAGAAGAGATTTTGAAAATGTGCCTGTATTTAATGATCTGAACTGAGAGTTGATATAGCCAAAGGGAGAGAGGCCTTTTGAAAAAATATATGTTTATCTTAACGTAAAACTGCAGACTACCCTCGCCCTTGGTGTTTTCACCGTTCTGCTCAAGGTTGCTTTTTTTTGGTTTTGTTTTTTTAATTGCCAAAGTCTAATAAACAGGAGATTGTCATGTTTATGCATGAAATAGAACTTAGTCAAAAGTTTTTGGTCACTTAAAAAAAAAGAAATGTATTGGTTATTTTTAGATTCTTTGTAAGAATTATGGAGAGAAAAACAGTGGTTGGAGAGAGTGGTAGGTTTGAAATAAAGAAAGGAAGGTTGGCAAATATGAAATGAAGTTATTCTTGGGTGACTTCTCTAAGGTAGTTGCATAATAACCCAAATAAAGGACCCTATTGTTTTAATGTAAATTGGATTGGTGAAAAGTAATTTTCTTTATAGATGCTGATTGAGTGTGGTAAGATTCCTTGTTGGAAAGATGTATTTTTATTATCTATTAGAGCGTATATAACAGTGCTTTTTATGTTTCAGGATGCCACTGGAATCGTCTTCAATGCAACTGTCCTTCCCTTCCCAGCTGTCCTTACCCCTGGTGCCAGAAAATTTGACTAACTCTTCCCTTCTGCCAATGTCTTACATCACTTCCCAGGAGATGAAGTGTATTCTTCACTGGTTTGCCAGTTGGTCAGGGCTCCAGCGTGAACGTTTCCTACAGGACTTAGTAGCTAAGGCAGTACCAGGAAAATTACAGCCACTGCTGGAAGGTCTGGAGCAGCTTAGTGTGTCTGGAGCAAACCGACCACCTTGTATCTTTGAGTGCCAGCTACGTCTTTGGGATCAGTGGTTTCGAGGTTGGGCTGAGGAGGAGCGCAATGAATTTGTCAGGCAGCTGGAGATCAGTGAACCAGACTTCGTGTCAAAGTTTTATCAAGCAGTGGCTGCTACAGCTGGTAAAGACTGATAGTCATTAAAATCAAAGAAGATAACCATTGCTGATGGAGCCGAAGCCACAACTTTACAATGAGAACTTCAAATGTGTCACTTAAAGGTCTGGGAATGGCATCCCAATCTGCTGACTGAACTTGCTGACCAGTGCAGGCCTGGTTATTTCAATGTTAATAGCATATCAGCTGGACTCCTAGTGTGAATGTTTTCCATCTAAGTGAACCCAGGTCAGCAGTCTGCCTAATAACTTTTTTCTTTCCAAGAGTTGTCAAACCTTCAAGAATTTAATAGCTTCTTTTGCAACTATAACCAAAAGGCACCTACACATTATAACTCAAGCCTGCTGGCCCATGGGGATACAAAGTAGAGCCCTCCTACTCCAGAAACAGGAGAGAAAGGCAATAAAAGGTCATGTTTTATAGCTTAGCTGGATTCAGATGGCTGGTTTCACCACCTTACCAGATTCTGGCATGATTTGACATCCTAACCACTAGCTTTCCTGTGATGATGTAGTAAAGTGGAAAAATCACGAGAGGGAGATAGTTACTCCTTCCTCCACACTGATGTGTTTGAATCCAAATCGCAATGACTTTTTTCTAAAGCATGTATGATACCCTTGGAGCTGGTAGCAGATATTCTGTAAGTTTGCTCTATGACAATATGAAAACAAGCGACACTCTTTACAGGTTGAAGGTTTATTTTTTGTATCAAAATAAAGAATGAATCTTTGGAACCATAAGTCTAATATTTTTTCATCGCAAGCCTAGTATAAAGTTGATATCCAGAGAAAGAGGCATTCTGAGAAAAGTAGAACTTAATTGTAGATACTGGATTGACCTTCCATCCAGCTATCTTCCAAGAAATGACCTCTGTCCTGCCCCCATCATGCTCTGGTTAACATCACACCTCCATTATCCCTCCAGCTGGGTCCCTTGTGCCTTGGAGCTCTGATGAATGGTAAGAGGTAGATGGTTCCACCTGAAGAGTAGCTCGTTTCTGATAGGCCATGGTTCCTAGTGCACCCATTAGGATAAGCAGTATTAGGCAGAGTCCCAGGGACAGACCTAGACAGGTCATGGAGGGATTATGGTCCAAGGTAACCAGCAACCTAGGAACACAGAAGTAATGTTTGGCCTGGAGTAATGCCTAGACTTAGGAGGTGAAGGGCTTTACCTTTATTATAATACATAGAGCTCATAAAACCATGCTTCGTCCAAATAGTAAGCTAACTAGGAAATCAATAAGAGCGACTGTAGAATCTGACAGTAGGAATAAGACCATGATCCAAGTCTTCTAGCAACTTATATTGTTGGAAGTTCCAAGACAACTTGGCAGTGAGGGAAGTGACTTAAGAATTAGACTATGGTATTTAGGTAGCTAGGCATGGCGGCTGGGTAGTGCTTAAGAAGGTAAGACGGGGGCCAGCCGAGTGGTGCGTTGGTTAAGAACTGGCTTGGGACGCCAGAGAGCCCCGGTTCAGATCCCACATATGAGGGCCAGTGACACTGCCCTCTGCAGCTAAGATGGTGAGAAGCAGCTCGACCTGGAGCTGGGCTGCCATGAGTCGCTGGCGATGGTGTAGGCTGCAGTCACTTGCTGCAGTGGGCTGCCATAAGCTACCATGTGTAGCCGGCAGCCAGCGTGAGCGGCCAACAGCTGCCGTGAGCAGCCATCCGGGGGCCGGTGACTGATCTGCCTCGCCTGGGAAGGGCACAGTGATGGTGCCAACTTGGGCCAATGAAGCAACATCCTCCACAACTAGACTGAAGAACAAACCAACAGCAACTTGTCTATTCCCCTTCCCCTGATTCCCCAGCGCTGTTCCCCTCCCCCAATTCCCCAATAAAATCTTTAAAAAGAAGGGAAAGGGGCTAGGGTCCCTATGTCCTAGAGATGGGGGAACTCTACTATTGTAGGGGGAGAGGTGTCCCATAATGACAGACCCAAGGTAATCATGTTAGGGATCCTTTTTTTCTGAAATAACCCTAGTTAGGACAGTTGACATGAGTGGGTGTTTAATAAGTGCAATTTCAAACACCTGGACTCAAGGAATTTGAAAAGAAAAATACTTGGAATGTTGTCTTACTTGCTATATTCTGTGGTAAAGTTGGCTCCTCCATAGTACACTTCTAGAGGCTGCTTTTGGAGAGTCAGGGTTAGGGCCCTATGCAGCATACCAACCGAAGGCCCTTGGCAACCAGGGGACTTCCACATATGCACACTGAACACCAGACCAGTGGTAAGTGAGGGGCTGTGGAAATAGCACCTAAATGGACATTTGGATCTCTTAATGGCGGTATAGTCCCTGGAAGAGTATATCTCATAAAACAGGTGCAGGCTTAGTTAGGAGTGGGATGAACAGAAAGCCTCCAGAAGACAGTTGTGAAATCAAGAACTTAAGCATTCTCCATGGCCCATCCTGGAAATCCTCAGCCTGAACCATCCTTTTACCTGCCAGCGCCTCCTCTGTTCACCAGAGCCTGTAGGACTGCTTCAGCCAACTCTTCCTGTTCTTCTTTCCCCAGGGAGTGGCCTAGGGGCCCAGCTAATCCTAAAGACAGCTGGAGTAACAGGTCTTGGGTTGAAAGACTCACAGGTGGGGAAGTAACAGCATCTGTACCTTCATTAGTCTGACACAGCCGACCCCGGGGACAGAAGAGAAGACCATAGTACCCAGGTATCTGCAAGGAAACATGTAGCAGGGTACAATTAGAGCCTCAGTTAATTGCTCAAGCCATCCTAAGGAAAATGTACAATCTACATCAGAGTCATGGGCTCAGTGGGTACTTAGTAAAAAGTGAACATAAAACAGGTTGGATAGTACCACTGTACGAGCATTTCCAAACTTCTTTTTGCCAGCATGCTACAGCTATTTCACCTACAACACCCACCTGAATAGCCTTTCCTGGAAGGCATGAGGCCCAGGGGGAGCCCTCCACCTGAACATTGTAGGACCCCCTCTTTGTGCATTGATGTAAGTAGCATCGGCCAGTGAGCTCCATTTCCTTCAGGTGTGGGACCTGAGAGGGCTGCCTGGCTTTGTCCCCAGGGAGCAGTTGTGATGTGAGGTTGGCAAGGAAGCAACGACTCTGGGAATGGTAGATCTCCCCATGGGGATTGTCTGCCCCAGGTGGGAATCCATTTTCCTTCTTCCAGCATTCACTCTGAAGAGCAGGGCAGAAGGTAGAATAGTATTTGTCTTAATGCCTTAGAAGTTGACTCCTCTCCAGGCCCACTCATTTTCACTCTCTGTTCTCTGGTCTACTCACCCTGTTGGCCAAGGGCTTGTACATGCGGCAGCCTTCCAGTACAGGGTCTGAGGAGCAGCTTCCCTTGTCCAGGTGCAGGTAGTGACAGCCCAGTCCACTGTGTAGAAGCGATGGTAGAGTGGCACTAGAATCACTGACAGCTGCACAGCCCCTCAACCACTTAACACACACACCTGCCAGTACAGAAGAAGTCTGAGGAGCCAGTCCCACATGTGGTCACCAGGCCAAATTCCAGGCCAGATCCTGCGTGAGAGATAGGAAGAGACAGAAAGAGCCCTCAGAACAAAGGAGGCCCCAAACATCCCTCAGTGCCAGCTATGCTTACAGCTTCTATTACATCTTAGCAGCAGATAATCCTTTCTGGCCTCTCACTTCCCCTGAGCGGACTTTGGTCATGAATTTTGCAATTCTCCCTTATTTCTCACCCTGGCCCCACAACAGCTCCTCTGCAGCACTGTAGTTGACTTGGTACCAGCCTGAGTCTTTGAAGGCAGCAAGAGTGATTGGGTCTAGTCGAGTTCGCTGGGCGCCATCGAAGGTAGCAGTCATTATAGAGCCCTGGAGTAGTCGGGCCTCCCAGTGTGAAGACAAAGGGCCCTATTGGAGGAAGTAGCTGGTTGCCACCTGGCTGCTCCCTCTTCCTTCCATCAGCCCAAGGTGTTCTTATTCTCACCTCTTCTTCCAAGGGGACACCCAGTGAAACCCCTCGCACTCCCAAGTGTTTGGCCAGGCTGTGGCTAACAGTTGGGGTGGTGAGAAGTAGCTGTCCCCACTCATCTCGCCTTGTCACCTGTTGCCTTGTAGAACAGTTCTCTGGAACTGGTACAGAAAGGGGAGAAGGCAATGTGAGGAGAGGAAAGCTTAGGAAAGGTGAGGTAGAATCGGAAGGAAGGAGATAGTAGTGATTCCTTCAGGATGACGTTGTGAGAAGACCTCTCCCTCACTCCTCTCATTTACCACTGGGTCCTGAGGGGCAATCCCGCCACTTCTTGAAGAGCTGTCCAGAGAAACCCAGGGCATGGAGCACTTCATGTAGTGTGGCCTAAGGATAAATGCCTGAAGAATGAGGGGGACTGGATTTGCAGCAAGACTGACCAGTCACTCGATAGCCCCTCTGTCTAATAACCTCTTCTTAGAGCTTGAGGCACCTTCTATTCCATCCTTAGTAGGTTCTACTTCATGGGAAGCTGAGTGACATGCCCCACCTCCCCCAACCTGTCATCATGCAGCAGTCACCATAACGATGTCACCATGGCTGAGACTGGGGCTGGTGAGGTGTTGGGCACAGTAGACAATGGTACCAGCAAGGGGTCTGTCTTCTGAGTCCAGCTGGCAGCAGGCAGCATAGGCAATGATAGAGGGCTGTGGATGGGTCAGGACAAGGTAGGGGTAGAAAGGAGAGAAGTGGGGAAACAGAAGAAATCTTCCTGAAAATGGAAGACCAGGGAACTTGGCAGGGGTGGTACCAAGGGATGGCTTAGAGGGTTTTTGGTCCCCACCCAAACTTCATCAGCATGCCCCAAGTTACCCCAAGTAAGCACAATTGAATAAAAACTGCTTTTGTACTCGTCACCCCTTCCCATGATATTTAAGATTAAGAGAGGCAGAGCAGGGACAAGGGATTTGATTTGAACTTCACCTCTTGATGGCACTTGGGAGTATGGGCAACCCGCACATACAGGAGAAAATCAGTGTTTTGGACCCCAGGCCCATCCTGCTGGACCAATTGTGGAGAACCCTGCTCCGGCCACAAGGCATAACCACGGAGATGGGCATCAGGGATCTAGCAGGGAGTGAAATGTGGCATCTAGATTAGCAGACGGGCTGGGAGATAGGACAACAGGAAACTGGGTACTAGGAGTGAGGGGCAGAGAGTCTCTCTGTCTTTAGTCTGCCTTGGTGTCATCTTGGCACCTGGTTAGAATAGGGAGTTCGCCCACTCCCCCACCCCATCTCTGATTTAATAAATGCCAGGCAGAGAAGGGGCTCAGGAATCTGCATTGCTAGGAAGTATATTAAGTAATTCTGATGCTGGTGGTT